GGGTGGGGGTGAATGGGGTGGCGCTTAAGAACGGCACGGAGCGGTGCCCGGCAAATGGCATAGACGTATAGAGCTCACCTGATAGATCATACGTACCACCTCACAGCCTGATAGCACAAGCGGTAAGAGAACAGCGAGGGGGGGAATAAAAAGAGCAAATACGCTGAGTAATCGGGCTAGCGCTCGAGTACCCGTACGCGTGCACCCCAGACAAATTCAAAATCAAATAGTACGTACCTGAAAGCAGGTATGTACCGACTTTCATAGCGATCCATCTGCTGGAACCCGTAGGCCAGGGATGCTGCCCTGGTCCCAGGTGCCAGCACCTACCTTGCGAAGGCTCTAGCGGCCCGAGTACTGGACGGATTTCTAAAATTTATTCAGATTCAGAAATCCACCGAAAGGTGCGTCACTTTGAGCCCCGGATGGGCCCAAAGCAATGAGGTATGGTACAGGCCACCAGGCCCAGCCAGCAGGGGGCCGGGGGTGGTGGGCAGGAGGGCAGGGTGATGGCAGGGGCGCGGATTGATGGCGGGATGGCCAGCAGGCACTGCTGAGCAGCCCGCGGGCCAAAAGGGCCATCAGGGGTGAGCCCGGGAGGTGCCGAGAAAGCCCTGGGAGCCTACCCATCAATATTGATGGCTTCCTGGCTCTCGGCAGGTGCCGTATTTGAGCCCAATAGCCAGTATTCATTAGACAACAACTTTCATTATCTTTAATGCATTTAAAATTGCCCTTTATTTAATGGCCCAGAGTGCTTAGTTGGTAGCCATGGCTCAGTTAACAGGCGTGAAGTGACTATAGCCCACTAATCAGCTAATCACATTGTCAGCTACAGTCCGTGAACGTGTCGTACATCTTGGAGTGAGTGATGACGTACTCGAGGAGGTCCACGAGGGCGGAATAGATGTCATTAATTTCGTCGGGATGAATGCTGTGTACCCAGACGTACTCGAGGATAGCTCCGTTGCTAACCAGGATTTGAAGGCGCGGTGTTGGTAGATCGGCTCTGGTAGCGGCCTCTCGTTGCAGAGGGTACGGTACTGGCCGCGGTTGACTAGCGCACGAGTGAGGTTAGCTAGCGAGTTGACGGATCTGGAGGATAAGGTATGCATCACTGAGAAGGCGCGTGCGGCGTTAGAGTGTAAAACCGGGCCCTTGTTGGTGAACCTGAGAGCCTTGCCAACTCCCCGGCGAGCACGTTCGTCGTCCTTGATGTGAACCAGCCACTTATTAAGCCAGCTGTAGTTTGAGAGCCAGGACAGATCCTTGATGATCATGCCCTGTGGCATTGGGTTGGTACGGTCAGCGCATTAGCGTGGGTTGTACGGTGCGTAGTTGAGGGTCTTGATCGCCAGCTTCTTGATGGCCGGCATAGAGCACTATTCCGAGCGCAGTTCATGGTCGCCGTAGAGGGTGATGGGCAAAATCACCGTATCCTGTGCGGACTCGGGGAACGGCGTCGGTACGCATTTGTTGATGTCATAGAGTCCGGCAATACGGCGGGGGTCCATCGTGTAAGCCTCACTCATGTTGATACGCGTGGGTTCCTGTTATGCGCGCATGAGTTTGTGTAGGCACATGAGTAATGCTAAGTGAGGTACCTCCGCGGGTACCTCCGCGGGCGCCTCGGCGGGTGCCTCAGCAGATACCCCAGTAGGTGCCGATGGCACTTCGGTCATTGGCTAGTTGCCATCGTTGGCGTCTGGGTTGAAGGGTAGTTTGACCGCATCGGGCCAGCACGGGCAGTGGCGGTGGTGGCAGAAGGCGCCTTTGCACTTTACCCAGTGATCGTTGTCCTCCTCGGTGTCGTGATGGAGGCTGTCGAGTAAGTCTCACTCGCTGGGCTGCGAGAGCAAAGACTTGAGATCATCCTCAAGCGGAGGTACAATGTTGTCGCCAATATTGCATAAGAAATCACTCGGATAGTCAATGACTAGCATTGAAAAAGTCATAGAGGCCTGGTCAGTTTTTGCCATGCCCCCTTGACTAGGCATTTTGCTAGTAGTTGTACTACCTTTTATATCTCAAGCACTAGAATAGCTATAACTATGGGGTTTTATATACTAGGGGCCTCAAGTATATACTATAGTAGTTTAGAGGGGTTTCATAATGCCATCAAATGTGTTACATAATGACAAAAATATACTAGACTGCCCAAATGGGGTAATTAGTAGTAATTCAATGTTAATACAACAATCAGTATAGCTATTGCTATTGGGAAAAATACATAAAATACTCACTAGCAGTGGTTGTTGCATACATTTATTGGGAGAGATTAGGGTTAGGGTTTTGGTTAGGGTGGTTAGAGTTAGGGTTTGGTTAGGGTTAGGTTAGGGTTTAGAGGTTAGGGTTAGGGTTTTGCACCAGGAGAAAAATAGAGCAGGATACCAAAAAAGCCCAGCGCATTCGTTCTTGCAAGCAGGAGCTCACAGTAGGTATTGCAGGTGGTAGAATACTAGTCCATGTCTACTCATCATTACACCTACGCATTAGCCGCACTGGCTTTTAGATATACCGAATGCATTGCCCTAGTACAGGAAATCATTTTTATGATTTATCTGTACACTACTAGTGAGCTATACATTATTTTCAGAATATTCCCAGAATTAACCAATGCCTAGTCAAGTGGAGATGGCAAAAACTGACTAGCCATATATGACTTTTACCATGACTAGTGACTTTTCTAGTGACATCCACCCAATGTTAATAGTAGCCCGCAAGTTGTCGGCTGTTGCAACATTGTTAGCATCTGGTTTATCCGAGTCGTGAGTCCAGCATGACTCACTGTACTCTGTCGACTCATAGTAGAAGGGGTGCGTAGGCCGGTGCTGAATACCTTCAGGTATTCCTCCCCTGACCAGCCAACGGTCAGGGAGTGGAGAAGTCGACGCCGAGGTGTTTTCCGGCACGATGATACCATTAGGAGGCGCCGCCGAGGTGTTGTCCTTGGTGTCACGGTCGTAGATGCGGTTGCGCTCGGCTGCTTTAACAGCGCGCTTCTTGGAGCGGCGCTGAGCCTTGCGACGGTTGCGGTTGCGGCGGTGGTTAGTGGACTTGGTAGCCTTGGAGCGCGCATCCGCCTTGAGCACCTCGACGCGCACAGCCTCGGTCTCGTAGAAGACCTCATCCGCGGTGTCGCGCTCTTCCTGCGAACATACCAGCACAAAATTAGTTGCTGTGGGTACGGCGGGAGGATTAGAATTGGTAGCGCTGACCTCCGGATTGAGGGGAACCAAGTTGGTGTCCATATCGACGTCAACGGTCAGCGGAGAAGGCGGAACGTCGTCGGGTTTGACGTCGTAGCCGCGGACCTTGTTGGAGGTAGGGTTAAGGAGGGGGGAGTTATAAACAGACATAGAATATACTGGAGAAGAGGTTAGAGAAGGTTTAGAGGGGAGTAGGGATAGAGGGCAGGGTCAGACAAGCTGATGGGGTACTTTGTGCGCTAGTCGCGAGTCTCTTATACCATGCCCAATCCTACGCCTATTCCTCCATAATTCCTCCCGAACGCATAGGATATACGTGTCGGAGGCCATTCCCGACGTTATTGCAGTCATATGACTGCGCATATGCGGGGCGTAGCGTCGGATACCGTGGAAGAGATGGTCGGCATCAAGAGTCAAGACGCGTCGCGCGCCTCAGGGTCTCGCGGCGTGGGACCGCTTTCATTTCCCTTTAAAGACTCCGCATCGTGTGCAGCAGCAGATTGCTTCTAGCCACCATGGTCCTGTGGACCAGCTCCACCAGGTACACTCTCTGGCGCATATCGGTATCCCCCATTGAGTAGTAAAGTACTGATTATAGTTTCAGATAGTCAACGATTTTTTCTATTTCTTTGGAGGCTTTTTCCTGGGCAGTTTGCACCAGTCGCGTATGTTCTGCAGCGCTAGATACTCGTCTAGCGCTTGGAGATTATTAACTATGTTGTACGTTTGCCATGTATCGTCTCCATCTTCCCAATATACATGGAAGAGTAATCGCTTTCCTTCCCACTTGTTTCTCTCAATGGACAACACTCGAAGCTCTGCTTCATCCTTAACGCCGAAGTCGTAGTAGAACTTCAAATCGCGTTGAGGGAACAGATCCCTATCATTGGCCTCGTATGGCCTTAATTCATACATAGTTGCTACACCTTCACAATAGCATCGTGGACCGGGATTGTACATTGCCACGATGTGACCGTGGACCGGGATCCAGCTGGACGAGGTGTTATACTCAGATATAATGGCTGTGACAGGGTGGGTGATGTGGTTGGGATGGTCGGGAAGCAAAATTAATGTACTGTTGCTTGCCTAATTGGGTAATACTATAGGGTAATAGCAGCCTGTGGGTGCCAAAAACAGTACAAATACTAGCATTCCAACTGTCCCAAGCAGTCCCAAGCAGTCCCGACCCCAAAAAACCTTCCCGAAAGTGGGCTCCCGACGGTTCCGACCTACCTAATGACCTACCAAAAGTGGCATACAGGGGCTCGTAAAGCAGAATCCTGTGCAGTGTATAATCATATGCACTGTACCAGTGGTATGAGTAGCAGTATACAGGCTTACATCAGTATCCACTGTTGTCCCGAGATCATGGATTGACCCGAGCATTCCTGATGAAAGCTCGGGATGCAGCTCGGGATACTGGATACATAGTACACAGCATATACCACAACCATACTACCTGATTGAAAGGGTGATAGGGGCTATCTTGCTGATGACCAGAGAAAGCGAGCTACGTAAATAGGTACCCGGACCGCATATTGCATCCTGACCTTCCCGAGCATCACCTGATATGGGTCGAGTCTACCAAATGTATGATAGCAGTAGACCTCATACTTATGGCACACTGTATTATAGGTAACAGAAACATTCTAATTGTTACTAGAGGAAATATGGGACACAGGATCATCATCCCGACAATATATAGCTTCCCGAGCTTCCTGGCCGCATCCCGAGCACTGTAGTAATTTTGTATACAATTATCCAGATACTTGTTGAAGTAAGATGAGACCATGTCCTACATGTACCAAGATGACTAGCATTGCATGAAACCTCAAATCCGAACCTGCATATTGCTTGACTTTGTCCAATTTAAAAGATCCTAAACAAAGGTCGGGAAGTTCGGGAAGGTCGGGAAGGCTACTTTGATGTGACATAGTGTGACCTACCAGTACACATGTAGCATTACCACTATGAATGCTACTGGTTCAAGAGCTACATCAAATCCATCGGACAGTTCTCTCAATTTACTGACCTTTGAAAGTGGCTGAAGTGAACACATTTTTGAAATCTAAACAAGTCGGTCAAGTGGTCCCCACCACTTCCCAACCTTCCCAACGTCCTCCCGGGACCACTGACACTCTTCAATAACTATTCCTTGACTCAGGTCAGGTGTGCTCACTCAGAACATTGATACAACCTCCAGCAATTAACGAGATATTTTCCAGCTCTCTTAAGCCCTTCCCTTTGCTTCCTAGTACTCTCTACTACTTCCCGAGCCTCCCGACGACATCCCGACGATCCCCTTGACCTTCCATGACCATTTACTCTATGATGCATGCTGCATATGCATGGGACACTGTCACAAGTTTCATTCGACCAGATATTCGTTAATGCCTCTCTCTGACAATTGGCACTCCCTCCCATTGATTTCTGTACCTTCCCGACCATCCCGAGTCCTTCCCGACACACTTTGAGTTCTCCTATGCCCACTATCTGGCTCAGACATCCCACATGTATACTGACAATCAGTGCAATGTTGAGCTCATGAAATTGACCATATCTGTCATTCGAGAGCCTTGTAGAGTCCCTCCTTACAGTTTCTATACCTTCCCGAGCATCCCGACACATTCCCGACACTATCTAAGCCATCAGGTCACCAGCAGTGAAGCCAGACAATCCATACATGCTACATCATTTGGGCCAAAGTCAAGTCACCCAGATATTCATTCTGGTCCTTCTCAAGCATGTAGCACACCCTTCCAATAGTGACTGTACCTTCCCGACCATCCCGACACCAACCCAACACTCTCCAAGTCTCTCTGGAAACAGGTATGGGTACTGGCATTGGATGACTGCTGTATACAATGGACCAATGTTTGACTCACTGAACAATTGTGTTTGCAGCTTATCAAGTATTCAATAGCCCCTTCTGGTATTCCCTACCTCTTTGCAAGGTTCCCGACACCTTCCCAAAGGCTCTCATGACTTCCCGACACACAGGAAGCCTTCACAATGATGACTTAGCTCTCAGATATCTCACAGAGACTGAATGGCGGAACATCATGTTGAATGCTCAAACAGTAGTAGCTCATCTGTGTAGCTATTCATCATCCATTTTGAGGCTCATTCTAAGCTCACCAAGTCTATTTCAACACTTTCAGAGCTATACTAATGATCCCGAGATGTCCCAATATCGACATCCATTCCCGACATCTTGCTTACTTCCCGAGGATCCCAACATCACAAATTCTGAGTCTTCCAGACTGATGCAATGGCTCCCGTGTCTAGCTCGCTAGCAGACATATAGACCTGCTGGCCATCAGCTATAGCTGGTAGAGTGTGTTCTGTCAGCCCAGCCCCAAGGTGATTTAGCTATTGGTACTGTGCCCACATTACAAGTTATGTCTGAGCAACTGGTCAATGAAATTTGTATCTACAGTACTCTAGACACTACCACTAGCTCTGCGACTCACAGTATGATATCTCCACATATACTCAATCAGTCTCCGATATATAAGATATTAATTAACTAGCATTGTTCAAGAAACCAAATAATAAATTCATCATATGTTGTTTGCCTTGCCCTGGTATATGTATCATCTGCTACTATCCAGAACACAAACGGTATGGTCTGACATGGTCTACAAACTGATTCATATACTCACTGATAGCATATAAGGTATAGGACTGGCTGGGCAAGTTACTGCCCACTGAAACATCCCACTGTGTGCATACTATTAACAGGATAGTCTGGTGTCTCCATATTGTCACCACATCACCTAAGGCAAATTGAGGGATGTTGCAACCTCAGTTAATGGCCACTCCTGAGCAGTTCTTGAGCTCGCACTTTGCCATATCTCCAACCTTGTTTTGACTGCTACTCCCCAACCACTCTACCTATGGATATAATGGTTTCTGCACTTGAGCTATATATGTCAGGGCTTGGTTTGGATCCACAATTGGTAACATAATATACAGTATTCAAAAACAGCGAATCAGCACAACATAATATACTTTGCCCTATTAAACAGTACTGAATGCATATTTCCCAAATCAGAGACGGTGACAAATCTTGTATTTGACGCCCGGCTATGATTCCCGAGTCTGGTAGGCATGGCTACATTCATACTGTAGCTATGCCCTATAGAACTTTCCTGCACACACTTTGAAAGTTGTGTGCTTGATTCTGAATGAACCACAGGGGGCGTACTCTCAGAACTTGCACCACATTATTATAGTAGCTGCATAATGATGTGGTGACAATATGGAGACACCAGACTATCCTGTTAATAGTATGCACACAGTGGGATGTTTCAGTGGGCAGTAACTTGCCCAGCCAGT